ATATTAACAAGAAATACTTATTTTAATTTCCTGCATCACACAAGAAACACACGTAGTATAGTGTATACCCTTTTAATCATTCTACTTAGAGCAGAATTCTGGCTCAGAATAAAGGCCATGAAGATTCTTAAAAGTCAAAAAGACCAACAAAAAAATAACAAAATGCTAAATACTATCAATGACATATTTGTAAATGCTTCCTTCAGGGATAGTATCTCCTATACCTTCAAAGTAAGGGTTCACATTATACACTTCAAGCAAACTTCACCAAAACAACTGAAACTTTCCTCTTAGACAGTTTTTAGCAGGTGTTGCTATTGGGAAAGTTTATTTCACGCCTTGTTCCCTCAACAACCTGAACATTTTGGACTTACCATTACTTTCTGTACTACAGACAATGGTCACAAGAACTAATAGAGAGGGTAATTTTTCTGGCCAGAAACAGCAATAAAATTTTGGGAAAATGTATTAATAGCACTGGAACCCTGAAGTTGTCATCCAATATTATTGTAGTTGTGTTACTATGAAGATATTAAACATTAGACTGGCAATTACCACCCACCAAAGGATTTCCATAACCACTGTAGGTTGTGAGAGGGATGAGTAAATTTAGAACTGAATTGCCACACTGTAATATTCAAATCTAGCTACAGGTTAATTCTAATGATAAAATGTCTAGGAAGGGGTGGGTGGGTGGAAGGAAGGGAGGGGTGGGTGGGTGGAACGAAGGAAGGGGTGGGTGGAAGGAAGGGAAGGGTGGGTTAAAGGAAGGGGGGGGGGGGTGGAAGGAAGGGGGGGGTGGAAGGAAAGGTGGGTGGAAGGAAGGAGGGGTGGGTGGAAGTTTGGGGCCCTTTAAGAGCATCTTAACAACAGTCTCAGTAAACCTGCATGTAGTATAGGTATGGTATAGTCTGGTCTCTCGGTACTGGTTCAAGATAGATGCATTTTAGATGTGGAAAAAGTTGGGTATAATGTGGTACCAGGCTGTAGATACATTTTTTTTCTGGGGGGGGAGGATGGAAGGAAAGGGGGGGGTGGGTGGAAGGAAGGGAGGGAGGGGTAGGTGGAAGAGGGATAGGGAGGGGTGGATGGAAGGAAGGGAGAGAGGGGTAGGTGGAAGGAAGGAAGGTAGGGGTGGGTGGAAGGGAGGGAGAGGTAGGTGGAAGGGAGGGAGGGGTGGATGGAAGGAAGGGAGGGGTGGGTGGAAGTAAGGGGGGAGGGGTGGATGGAAGGAAGGGAGGGGTAGATGGAAGGAAGGTAGGTCAGACTCACATGACTCATTCAGATGCATCACAGCTATCGGCTGCTGTGTTCAATTTTCCGCTCACACTTCCTCTCAAGCTGCATGGACTGGAGTGTGGGCAAGTATAGGGGGAGACAGAGCAGATCCAGCCTCTCTCCCCTCTTCTCCAATTGGTGTGGAGGATGGAGGGAGGGGCTGGGCACTGAGAAGAACACAGCGGGAGGGGGCAAAAAGAAAACGTAACGATCAGGTATGTTCTGTGCAGCGGTTGGAGCAGTGACCAGCAGCAATCTCCTGTATGGCTTTCAATGAAGCAGCTGGAAGCTGCTTCTCCTCCTCTCCCTCCCATGGCTTCCTTCCACCCACCCTTGCTTCATTGAAAGTCATACAACAGATTGAGATCGCTGCTTGTCACTGCCCCCACCGCCACCGCTCCCATACACCCATAGTCCCGGCACTGCTCGGCCCCACCTTATTTCCACTCGCAGGCGAGTGCAAATTTCGAGGGCTGCAGAGATGGTTTGGCAATTCTCTTCTAGGGGGGGTTCAGGCCTCCCCCTTATCCACTCCCCTGATGCGGTATAGAGTTGGTATAGGTGCAGTGTAGGTTTGAAATACATGCAGTATAGAGTGCAGTATGGGTGTGGGTGGATTGGACATTCTCGGTGTCCTGCCCTTACTGGCTGAGTCACTGCTAGCAGTATTAGCAATGATCAATTAGCCCTCTCGCCAGTCCTCTGCTGCTGTGAATGTTCGCTGTAGTAGGGGAGGTCCCTGAGTCTCTCCACAGAATGCTTCCAGAGATTCAGAGGTGGAAAGTAGAGGATGAGAGGATGCTCTGGTCTCCCTGTGGCAACAATGCAGATGTAATCGATGCCTCGGGTGTCTCTGCTGGTTTGGCCTCTAGGCAGATGTGTTCTCCTTGGCTCCATCGGCTCCAAGAGCAAGAACCTAGCTGAGCAGTCTCAGAAATTGATGGGATTTACAGTGTATGGAGCCCATTCATCCCATTATATGGCTGCCATCTCAAACTCCTAGGATTCTTGGCGCTTTCATAGAAGTCTATAGGCTTGCTTGGCTTTAGCTCCCCCCTGCTGGCCGGAGGAGAATAGTGCAACACAAGCGTCAGTATCTCTGTAGCGGGAGAGAAGAATGTAAAGCAATGTCTCCTTCTCCATACTGCTGTAGCCCAGTATCTGGCTACATATGTAAAGGTTCTCTTATGTAATCGTGATCACAATATACACTGTCTATTGCTTTGCATGTTTTTCCAGACTGTGAATTATAAAATACTATAGAACAGACAGACCGTGCACAGGCTCTGTGTGACACCTTCATATGACCTTTATTAAAAATAGAAAAATATGGTACTCACAAACACACTGTTTAGACTTGCTATATCACATAAAATTGCATCCAAGAAGAGACCTGCTCGTCCCTTACTGAATGGAAGAAATCCCTGTAATGGTTGCTGTTAGCATGCAGTCGCTATCTTTAGCATGCATAACGGCTGACTAGTTTAAGTCCGGGTTCACATATATGCAGTGCGGTATATCGCATGTGATTCACACAGGAACAGCACCGCATTCCTGTGCAAATCACATGCGATTTTTGTGTGGAGCCATACATTTTGTATGGCTCTAATCGCACCACACCCACACCAATAAGGTGCAGGACCCTTTTTTGGGTCTGCACTAGAATTGGATCGCATGGGTATTCACACCTTTGTGATCCGATTCTGCACATCGAGCTGCGTTTTGCGGACCGATTTTGGGACGTTGCTAACATACACACCCGCAGCGGTTCACATGTACAGGGTGTGATTCTGATGCGGTGCGGAATTCGCACAGAAAACGATGCGAATTCCACACCGGATCAGTGTGAACCCGGGCTTAGAGGCGGATGTTCTTGATCAGTGCTGTTAAGAAGAGGATGTGCCCTTGAAACCGGTCAGCGGTTATACATGCTAGAGAACAGGATCCCTTACCCTTTATACACATCAGCTGCAGGGCAGGGAATCTTCAGCTCACAGATGATTGACCTAGCAATGACTGCTATCTTTCGGGTTTGGATGAACTTGGGTTTGGATAGAACCAGGGGCGGACTGACAACTCATGGGGCCCCCGGGGAATAGGGGATCACGGGGCCCCTGTGTTCTTGCCCAAACTCAAAAAAGCCTATGAAAAAGGTACCGGGGGCATCTCATGCTCGTCCCTTACTGAATAGAAGAAATCCCTGTAATGGTTGCTGTTAGCATGCAGTCGCTATCTTTAGCATGCATAACGGCTGACTAGTTTAAGTCCGGCCTACTGACCCCGGGCCCTCGGACAGTGCCCGAGTTTCCAAATGGTCAGTCCGCCCCTGGATAGAACCCATGCTCATCAATAGTCCTGAGCAAGGATGTACAGTTGCTGTAACAAATGAATGTAGACAGAAAGTGGCTGAACAGTCTGCAGCAGATAAAAAAACCCAAAAAAAATATATTATGAAAAAGCATCACAACTGTTTCTGATATCAAGGTCCTTTGCAAACTAAATGGCATTCTGCTAGGGATTACATCTACTAACGGATTTGCAGATTTGAAAACAATAATGCAAGTAAATCAAATTCAGCAAAGACCTAATTTATAGTATATTAATAAATGTTGTGTTCAGACAATCCCTGGGCAGTACATAATGAGTAGCCAAGGGAATAACACAGCAGGGTATTGCAGATTAGGGCAAGGAGGATGCTGATATAGGGCAGTCAGTTGTCTCCTGTATTCAGGACCGGTATCCTATATAGGCACATCAATTCTTAGAGTCACTGTATCTTGCCTATAATGCAGAACATAAATTCCTATATTCATTTTTTCAAATTCTTCATACACGGTTTCTTCACTTTTGTTTACTTAAACTCTATTAAAACGGACGTGTCCATCTAAATACCCTGTTCACAGGATGACAATGCTGCTGTTTGATTTCACTGCAGAATGAGAAATGAAGTGTCACCCCATAACAATAATTGAAATTGTAATTGATCTATTCACAAGATCAACAGATAATAACAATTATTTTACAGCAAGGACTCTGAAAAGCTAAATATGTTGAGCTAGTGACAGGTGGCATATGTCTATATGCGGCAGAGGCAAAGAGGTGGCTTTTCTTTGAATAGTGATCAAGCACACATTTTTCGCATCTTTGTTAAAAATACATTCCTGTCACATCAGCTTGTTTACAAATCATTACAATATAAAATCCAAGTAACAACCAATCAAAAGAAAGAAGTCCTAGCTTCATTTATATCTCAGATGCTTCAACAGTGAGATCCTCCTGCCGTAATTTCACTCTGTTTCTGTCCAACTTGGAGTTTTGTGTGTCTCTGTCCCCATTTGTGTGATCCAGCTGCTTCTGTTAAATTCTCCATAATATAAAACATAATATAAAATAAATGTAAAATGCTGCATGGAAAGCAGGAACCATCATAATTGGCATAACAAATTTGCAGACTGGGAACTCATAGCAGAGATCTTACGGTATAAAATAGACTGTCAAGGGGTGCACCCCTCCAGCATCTACCAAACACTAAAACTGGGTGGATTGAAGTATTAAATAAAAACTATGATTAAAATATCAGATTTTTACTGTTCAAGGTCTGCTTTTGAAGGATAATGCCAAAAACTGACAATGGGACCTGCAGTATTGCTGACTCTTTCATCATTGTTGGGTTTGAAACTCTTCGAGAGGTGGAACTTTTTCTCTTCTCCCTCTTCTCCAGCATGTATATCTTCACAATCTCAGCTCATTTCATGATTGTCACACTAGTAGCAGTAGACCACCATCTCCACAAACCAATGTACATACTTCTGGCCAACTTCTCCATGCTGCAGGTCTTGTACACCAATGTGACTGTTCCTAAAATGCTTAATGCATTGTTAACCCAACACAAAGAGATCTCTTTATCGTCATGCTTGGCCCAGTTTTATTTCCTGTTTGGCTTTGGGGCTGCAGAAAACTGTCTTCTTGCTGTGATGGCTTATGACCGCTATGTGGCTATCTGCAGACCGTTGCATTATCCAACTCAGATGAGTGGTCAGAATAGCTTGAAACTGGCATTTGGGGCTTGGGTAGGTGGTCTACTGGCTGCATTCCCACCTGCTGTCTGGATCTCTACCTTGAGGTTTTGCTTTCCCAATTTTATAGACCACTTCTTTTGTGATTATGCCCCTCTAGTGAAGCTCTCCTGTGAGGACACTTCAGAAGGTGAGTTTGCCTTCATGGTCATGTCATGGAGTGTTATATTGGGATGTTTCTTTCTCATCATGTTATCCTACACCTTCATTGTCTTTGCTGTTCTAAGGATCCCATCAGCTGAAGGCCAGAAGAAAGCTTTTATTACTTGTGCATCCCACTTAGCTGTGGTGGCTATCTATTATGGGACTGTCATCTTCATGTACATTCGACCCACTTCCCACATCCGCTTTACAATGGACAAAGTGGTTTCTGTCTTCTACTGTGTAGTTACCCCCCTTCTAAATCCTATAATTTACTGTCTTCGGAACCAGGAGGTGAAGGTAGCTTTTATGAAAACTTTGCAGATGTTGCTGTAGCACTACCCCCTTAGGGATTGCTGATGAATTTGGGTCCCACTATGGTCCTGCATTTAACATTTCTTCACACCAGCTTTCATCAGTAGACAGAAATCAGTCCTTGAGTGCTTGTTTTGTTATTTTATTGAAGGGATTAGGACTTGGATTAGGTAAGGGGTGTATAGGATGCACAAAGGAACCAAAATCTGAGGACAACTTTTTGAACTATTCACAGCTTTTCCTCTCTGCTACAGTCTCTGTTGAAGTGCTAGCCAGCAGCTCCAGTTTTACCACCCCAGACCCTAGATGAACTCCTCTTTACCCAGCAATCTGGAGACTTTCTTCCTGAGCAGGAAATCTGGCTCTTGTTCCATTAAATGCATAACAGTCACTAGCAGAGGGCTAATCTGATTTCCTACCAGAGTGCTCCTTCCCCTATCCACCCAGGGGGTACAGGTGTACTCACTCAGATCTTCTCCGGTACCGCTTGCAGAATGACTGCTACTACCAGGCCTATCAGCTGGGTTGTTCCTTCCCCACAATACAGGTGGTCCTCTCTCAGGAGGCCAGTGAGTCCAGAGGCCCCATCCCACTAGGCCTCCTGGCAGTCTTCCTCCTCCAGCCTCACATCTTCCTGTTTCTCATTCCTCTCCCACCACAACACTCCACACTGAACAGGCTCCGCCACTTTTTAAGGGAGTCAAGCCCCTTGCCAAGCCTCCTGTTGGTGATTGGCTGAGGTCCCTCAATAGTGTAGCCATCCACGCCTCAGATGCACCCACTGCCTCCAGGGCCCTCTTCTGATAGCCTCAGAGCAGTGGGAAATTCCAGAGGGGATAGCCTGCAGAGTCTCTCAGTCCTGACCAGAATTTGACCCCTCTGGCTATCTCACCTGAGCTGCCAATCAGCTCCTAACTAACCATTAGGGTCTAGCTCCCCCTAGCTAAAAGACACTTAAAAGTCAAAAAGACCAACAAAAAATAATAAAAATGCTGAATACTGTCAATTACATATATTTAAATGCTTGGTTCAAGAATAGTATCATCTACCCCTTCATATTAAAGATTCACATTAAACACTTCAAGTAAACTTTATCAAAACAGCTGACTATTCCATCTTAGACAGTTGTCACCAGGTGTTCCTATTGGAAGATTTTATTTCACACCTTGTTCCCTTGACAATGTGAACATTTTAGACTTACCATTTCTGTACTGCAGACAATGGTCACAAGAACTATTACAGAGGGTAATTTTTCTGGCCAGAAACAGCTATAAAACTCTTGGGAAAGTGTGTTAATAGCACTGGAACCTTGAAGTTGTCATCCAATATTATGGCAGTTGTGTAAATATGAAGAGTCTAAACATTGGACCGGCAATTACTACCCACCAAAGGATTTCCATGACCACTGTAGGTTGTGAGAGGGATGAGTAAATTCAGAACTGAAGTGCTACTTGTAATATTCAAATCTAGGTACAGGGTAATTCTAATGATAAAAGCACAGTGGTGTAATGGTTGTCACTTTTGCCTGGCAGTACTAGGGTTGTTGGCATGTAGTTTGCATGTTCTCCCTGTTCCTGTGTGGGTTTCCTCTGGGTCCTCCGGTTTCCTCCCACACTTCAAGGACATGCTGGTAGGTTGATTGGCTCCTGTCTAAATTGGCTCTAGTCTGTGTATGTATGAATGTGAGTTAGGGACCTTAGATTGCACGCCCCTTGAGGGTTAGGGATTGATGTGAATGTACAATATATATGTAAAGTGCTGCGTAAATTGATGGCGCTATATAAGTACCTGAAATAAACAATAATAAAATGTTTCCAGAGCCAATGTGTTTTAATGTCCCCCTTCTTCAGGGTTGAGCAAATGAAACAATGTATGCAGACTCAATAATAAATATATAGTTGAATATTATGAAAGTGTGTGGTTTTGTGCAATATCTGTCGGTAGCTGGTTCTAGCAAGGTTTTATCGTGAAAGAAATATTATCGCATATTATTTAAGAGACAATAGCCACAAATATTGTTCAGTAGCTAGACAGTACATAAGAAGCTTGATAAGGTTGCAGTGTAAGAGGAAGAGGAGACAAGGCAGGTTTTATCATTCTTGAGCTAAACATTAGATTGTATTATTTGAGAGACAATAGCCACAAATATTGTACAGTGGCTAGACAGTATGTAAGCAGCTAGATAAGGTTGCAATGTAAGAGGGAGGGATGAGGAAGGTTTTATCTTGAAATAAACAATGGCCATACATATTTCAGAACACTGGAATAGGTTGCAAACTTTGAGGAGCAATGGAAGATTTACCCTATAGCAAACATTAGAAATCTGCCAGCCGAGGTCCAGCTGCAGAAACATTCTGTACCACCTTTATCCATGTAAGGGCTCATGTACACGGGGCATTTGGAAAACTCTTCTGAATGATGGAAACTGCTGGAAAACGTAGGTTAAAAAACATCAGTTTAGCCGTGTTTGCATAGCACGTTTATGCACGTTTATGTGCGTTTGCGTTTTTAAAAGATAACCTCAGGAGATCCTCCCAAATGCCCAGAATGCACTGAAAAATAGTAAAAAATTTACTATTTCAGACTTTTTGAGAGGAATAGAGAGAGCAGAAGCAGACAGAGCTGTACGTGTTGAGATGACCTGTCTTTTTTTGGTTGTATTCACTATGGATCCCATCATGCGCAGAATGCACCATTTTTTCCTTCACACGAAATCTGGAACTGACTGCGCTGGTGTTCCGGGTCCATTTGAATACATGGAAAATGCTTTGCATGCATTTCTGATGATGAAAAAAAGGCTCTGGACAGCATCTGGACATGGAACAGTTAAAAAACGCTTCTAAACGCAAACACTTTACACACGTTTACAAGCATTTGGCGTTTGAAACACCGGTAAAATCTACTCCTGAACGCATGTTTTGGTGCATTCAAAAAAATGACTGTAAACAACACATAGGAAAACATTAGGGAGAGCTCAGGAGCTGCTGGAAAAAAAAACGCTGAACAGCTCCTGAACGTCAGTTTAAGAGCTGCGGTGTACATGAGCCTTAGGCTCCATGTAAACGAGCAGCTCCTAAACTTGAGTTTAGGAGCTTTTGGCATTTTTTTTGCCAAAGCTCCTAAACTCAACTCCATAAAAGACTATGTGTCCATGTACACATATGCTTTTAGCAGAGTTTAGGAGCTGCCGAGTTTAGATGAGGTTAAACCTCCCTCTTCTGAACGTGGAAGAATCGTGTTCAGGATAGGAACGTTTTGACCACCGATTTGCATTTTCCCACAGCTGGTGGTCAGGGTTGGCTCGTGTACATGGAGCCATACAGTGCTGGAGCACTGCAATACATGTACACTTTGAGGAGTAATGCAGAATGTATCAGTTTTCAGTGGGTTGATTGACACTCAAGGTTTATTCTGTAGCATCAGCAATAGGGCCTTTGTAGTCATTAGTAATCAAAGACTGATTCACTTAGCAAAAATGTTCTGATCCACACTGTCAACAGGCAGATTCTGCCTCTTACTGCTGTCAGGCCATGCGGTGTGTGATCCCAGAGGAGCATGAGAGGTCTTGTATCCCTAATTATTAAAATGCTGAACATGTCCTAAATGATGAGCCACTGGCACAGTCAAACGAATCCCAGCTCCCTATAAACTGTACTCATATAGTAATTGCACGGGTAGTAATTGCATGGTCAATATTGAGTCCCAGTCAGGGGCGGACTGACCATTTGGAAACTCGAGCACTGCCCGAGGGCCCGGGGTCAGTAGGGGGCCCCAAGAGATGCCCCTGGTACCTTTTTCATAGGCTTTTTTGAGTTTGGGCAATGACACAGGGGCCCCATGATCCCCTATTGCCCAGGGGCCCCATGAGTTGTCAGTCCGCCCCTGGTCCCAGTCAATAGGGTATCACAAATGAAGCAGTTGGCATTTAGCTTGTGTTGGCGCTGCATGTCTGCCAGATGAACATGGACCTGGTATGACCACCTAAAGAGGCCGTAAACCCTTCTAGCATGACAGAAGACCTGACCATACTCAGACCAGAGATCCAGGCTACTTAATAATAAACTGCTGTACCAGTGGGTTGAGGAAATGCATCAGGAAAAGTACACATGTGAATTGTTTTGGCAAAGGGTGGCCAGCAGGTTAGAAAGAGGAAGTGCCACTGACTTGCATCATCAAGGTGCTGCTCCCACTGAGCTTTGCTGTACATGTGTTTTCTCTTGCATGTGGTACCCAAATGACTGGTACTTTTGCCATGGCTGATATGCTGCAGACCATAGAGCTGCTGTTGGCAGCAAATACATTAAAAAAGCCCCAGACTTCAGCTACCTGTGGGACAGTGCCAACAGATGGATTAGGACAGTTGCTCCCTTTAGTTCACTGCAAGCTGCCCCTGCCCTTGGAAATAATCCTCTCTCCATGCTGTTCTGCCTCTCCATCAGAACTTTCCTCCTCTACAATCAGTGGCACCCACAGACTACCTGCTACCCCATCATCCACCCTATTCTCATCTCTGGAACCCATTTGGCAGTAAGCTCCAGCTGCTGGAACATGGCTGCCTCTTGCTACTTCCTGAATGATGTCCCCTACCTCTATTATCCTGGTGCTGTCTTCCATATCTTCAATATCTGACTTGAGGAATTCTTTCCCATGATGAAGACCATCCTTATGCAGCAAGCCAGTGATCGTGGGATGCAATAATTCCACTGACTCCCAGTCACTAGTTTGCTGGGCTATGGTGGGATGAGCAGAATAGGAGGAAGAGGAGGGTGAAGTAGCAGCAGTTGCAGACAAGACTTTGACAGCTACTCAATTACCTGCTGTGTGCTATGGCTGTATAACATGGCCACTCTGGCAGAAAAGGCATATGTCCCCTGCCTCTAAATGGTGCAGCTCTGACCACTGCTTTGTCCTGTGAACTTGGTCTCCCACTACTACCTCCATGTGCAGAAACTCTGCCTTTCCCTGTAGGCCTGCCTTATATTTTCAGTAATGGGGGTTGCATAAATCTAATGGCAGCTATT